TGGATTTTCAGTTTTACCAGCACCATTTGTTGAAGAGTTTATCTTTTCTCCAGTGTGTGTTTTTGGCACCTTTGTCTAATATAAGATAATTGCAATTTTGTGGGTTAGTCTCTGTGCCCTCTATTCTGTACCACTGGTCTACCAGTCAGTTTTGGTGCCAATACCATGCTGTTTTTGTTACTGTTGCTCTGTAGCATAGTTTAAGGTCTAGTATAGTGATGCCCCCTGCTTCACTCTTCCTGCTAAGGATTGCTTTAGCTATTCTGGGTCTCTTATTTTTCCAGATGAATTTCATGATTGTTTTTTCTATTTCTATGAGGAATGCCATTGGGATTTTGATTGGAATTGCATTAAATCTGTATACCGCTTTTGGAAGTATGGTCATTTTGATAAAATATTAATTCTGCCTATCCTAGAGCGAGGTAGATCTTTCCATCTTCTAAGCCTTCTTTGATTTCTTTCTTTAGGGTTCTATAATTTTCTTTAAACAGATCTTTTACCTCTTTCCTTAAGTGGATTCCCAAGTTTTGTGTGTGTGTGTTCTGGGGTTTTTGTTTTGTTTTGTTTTTGTTTTATTTTTGTTGTTGTTTTGAGGTTATTGTGAATGAGATAGTTTTTCTCATTTCTTTCCAGAGGCTTTGTCACTGATATACAGAAATGCTTTTGACTTATGGGTGTTGATTTTATATCCTGCTACATTCATTTATTTACTAGTTCTAGAAGTTTTCTGGTGGAATTTTTAGGGTCTTCTAGGTGTAAAATCGTATCATCATCAAATAATGCCAATTTGAGTTCTTTTCCCATATGTATCCCTCTCATTTCTTTCGTCTAATTGCTCTGGCCAGTGTTTCATGTACTGTGTTAAATAGAAGTGGTAAAAGAGGGCATCCCTGTCTTGCTCCAGTTTTTAGAGGGAATGCCTTCAATTTTTCTTCATTTAGAATGATGTTGGCCTGGGGCTTAGCGTAGAGAGCCTTTATGAAGTTGAGATATGTTCCTGTTATCTTTAGTTTTTCTAGTGTTTTGAACATGAAGGAGTGCTGTATTTTGTCATGCTTTTTCTGCATCTATTGAGATGATCATATGATTCTTATCTTTAAGTCTATTGATGTGATGACTTACATTTATTGATTTCTGTTGAACCAACCTTGCATCCCTGGGATGAATCCCACTTGATCATGGTGCACAATCTTTTTGATGTTTTTGTATTCCATTTGCCAGAATTTTTTGAGAATTTTTGTTTCTTGTTTATTAGAGATACTGGTCTGAAGTTTTCTTTTTTTGATATGTCTTTGCCTGGTTTTGGAATCAGGGTGATATTGGCCTCATA